GTTAAAAAAAAAAAAAAAAAAAGAAAATTGAGATGGAGAGAGAGGCTGTTAGGGATGTATCTAAGACTAGATCCCACATTTTATTTTATTTTATTTATTTTTTTGCGGTATGCGGGCCTCTTCTCACTGTTGTGGCCTCTCCCGTTGCGGAGAAACAGGCTCCGGACGCGCAGGCTCAGCGGCCGTGGCTCACGGGCCCAGGCGCTCCGCGGCACGTGGGATCTTCCCGGACCGGGGCACGAACCCGTGTCCCCTGCATCGGCAGGCGGACTCTCAACCACTGCGCCACCAGGGAAGCCCTAGATCCCACATTTTTAAGGGAAATATTTTTATTATAATATTCTGCCATTCGAGTGTATACTTAAACAGGGTCTAGTTTCAGGAGTGCAAAACCAAAAAACTAAATATCATTTCAAATATTGAACATACTTCAATGTTTATTGAAGCTATAAGGAGAGTGAAAATTCATGGAGTTCCATAAAAGTTAAAGGGAGTAATGTCAGTATTGGGCTAGAGGAGAGAAGACCAATGTGAATATTTAAGATTTCCCCGTTCAACTTCCATGTGCCTGATACGTTTACCAGAATGGACAAGATTTGGGGTAAGCAAAAACTTCTCATTTTTATTATTTTGACAGAAACGAGGTAGAGTACTTTTAAAAGGCGAGGGGGTGAATTAGTATTCAGTAATGCCCCCCTACCACCCCACTCTCATTTCTCAAGTGGCTGGTTAAGGCACTCTGCTAAGTCTTAAAAATCTGACTAACTTCGCCCTTCCACAGCCATTCAAGATAAATGATCTTTTCACAGGTATTTTACCAATAAATAAAAACAATCCTTAAAGAGGTTTAATATTTAGCCCTAAATCACATAACTAAGAAATTATGACACTAACTTTCAATTCCAGGGAGTTTGCCTCCAGAGTCTGAGTTATCACCACTATGCTAAGATGGTTCAAAAATTCAAAAATTCACGGTGTTAGATCGGAGTAAACTATTTACCTCCATCTTCCTGCTGCCTGAGGGACCTGAAGATGTGTAATTCTCCAAGTTTAACACACAGGCATTCCGTTGGCTTCTCTACTAGAGAAAAATTCTTAGACCTCTTCTCATAAAAATCAGCTGTCAATAAATATTTACTGAGCACAATTAACGTGCTAGGTGCTATGGGAAGGGCTGGAAACACAGCAGTGAGTAAGCCCCTGGTCTCACGGAATTTGATGAGATGTTTTCCCACAAGAGTATAAAGAGCTACCATTTGTAACTTCATTCTTAAAAAATTTCTGGCATTCTCCAAAACACTTTATATACATTGTCTCTTTTACTATCGTTTCATTTTCACAAGACACCTGATGAGACTGGGCACGATTTAAAGGTGAGAACACTGAGGTGCAGAAAGGTGATGTGTCCCCAAGTCTCACATCAGTAGTAATGTATCAAGGGCAAGATGAATCAAGAACACCATTACCTTTCCAGAACTCAGAACTGTCTAATTTTTCTTTGTCTCCCTTCAAAGATTTCACCGAACAATTATTTGTGTATGTTCCATGAATGAAGGGGGAGAATCCAGGATGAATCTACTTAAGTTCAGAAATACATGTACCCAGCACTAGAGATATTTTATGTGCAATTCCTAACTCTTTCCTGCTAACTGACCACTCACCCCTCTACGGTCAAATGTTCATCTCTCCCTTTGCTGTTCTGTTGAAATATTTCAGCCATGTGTAACTACAAATTCTTTCATGGGTACGCCGTTCAGTTATTCCTGGGGAGCTCTCTATCTCCAAGTAGGTCAAACTTCATCAAGTGGGATCATATTGATTCTGAAAACACTGATTCAGTCAGTATCTACAAGTAAGTGATCATCTCCCATTATATTTAAGAGTTTGGAATGTCGACTCTTATAACAGGAAGTTAGAGTCATATTGGACTTCATATCACTTATATCATGTTGGCCATGTTCCTCTTTTTTAATTTCCTTTTTTAAAGAGAGTTCTAATATCTGTGCCCATTGGTGAAAATGAACAACTTCCTAATTTAGAGACAATAAAGAAGACTCCTAGTTGAGAAACACTACTAAGAATCAAATACTGGAAGAAGCTAAAATCCTAACACTGAGAGTGACAGCTGCTAACACTAGAAAATGCATGAACACTACACACACCCAACACACAAACACCATTCCAAGAGGCTAAGTGCGTTCTAATTCAACACGTTATCGGTGAGGAAGGATATTTTCCAATACAGAATCCATTTAAAAATTGGGTTTTCATTTGTAAAAGTCTCTTTTTATGTACAATCCAGTTACTATTTTACTAACAAAGTGCTTTTGTTTGCCTATTTTGAAAGCTTAGCCGTCAGAGCTACTGACCCAGTGCAAAACAGGCATGTAATGTCATATCAGGTATCACTCCACCTCCTTATTCTTTTCTTTGTTTTCCAACACAAACTTGGCAATGAACTGTAAGCAAAAAGAACACCATGTGGGAAGCAGTCCCACCACACGAAAAGTCTCAAGAAACTTTGTCTCCAATCACTGTTGTAGGGATTTTTTTTTTCTTTTTCATATTTACACCTATGATACTCACTTATGCCCACAGCTGTAATGAGCTTGACTGCAAGTTCAGGAATTTCACACTGAATGAAAAATGGTTCCAGAATGTACCGTCCAAAGGCCAGAGATATCACAGCAGTGGCTGCAGGGCTAGAAAAAACAAATACATATTTAGGTTAACTACAGAAACAGAAAAGAGCATCTTCACTAAGCTTGCTCTACATTGAGGTGCTATTATTCAGCATGTGGAACATATTAAATAGGGGAGTCTGTGATTTTCAGAACTCCAGATTTGATTAGGTTGTCATAGACATTCCAAATGAAATACTGTCTACAACTTTGGTGGCTACTCTTTAAACTTCACATCTCCTTGGGTACAAGGCTGGGTACTGTCAGTTTTGCCCCTGCCTTCCCATATTTGAATTTTTCTTAAAAATTGAGTTTATTACTTGAGATCCTGACAGAGGTGGGCTTCACAAGAAGCAATTTTCTTTCTCAGTAAGTCAACAATTAAACTCCAGCACAGTATGAATGCATTAACAGTGCAGGTCTAATGGGCTGGGTCATGGTCAGAAAAGGAACACAAAACTCACCTTAAAAAAATTAGTACTAATAAGTGTTCATTGCCAATATATGCTTATGTGCTTGATATCATATTAGCCTTGGTTTTCCATACAGACCAAAACTTGAAGAGCCAAGTGATTATTCTTAATTCCACAGAAATATTTAGATGCAAAGTATACGTTGAAAAATAAAAGTACTCTTGTAATTTTACAAATGGAGAAAACATCCATGAAATAAGAAAATGCAATAACTTCAGGTATATAGTGAAATAGGTAACAAACCATTCTATCTTAATTTTTCAACTATTTCTATGCAAAGATTACAGATGCCTTTTCAGTTTAAATATATCTATATATGAATGCATATTTGTTAGATACACAGGCAAGTCCATGATATTATCTACTTTGTCCTGCCTGTCTTCCCTTTCAGCTTATCTTCCTTCTCATGGTTATACAACACCCATGTCCAACTCCTAATTGTCAGAAAACCAACCACCATTACGTGTTCCAACCTCGACCTGCCAGTACTAGCATGACAGATTCCTTGATTTTTTCTTTTTCTTTTCCAAGAGAACCTCTTCCTCACCCCCAACAAGATTATTTTTCTTGGTCACCATCATTCATAAATTTTTGACGTATAAATTAAAATCTGATCATGACATCGTAGTGCTTTCAAAACATGCTCAGGATATGCAAAACCTCTTCAGTTCAAGGCTCTATATCTGCTCTTGGCTTTTCCTTCCCCTTCAGTGTGCTTCCTCCCACACAAGGATATGAATATACCCTTTGCCTGAGGCCCCTGCAACTCACGGACGGTTTCTTATACCTCAGGTCTTAGTTCAGTCTTTTGCGCAAGGAAGCTTCTCCAGCCCTCTGATTGGGTTAGATCCCCCAGAGTGTACTCTCTTCTGGAACCTCATGGCTTCTCTTTCACAGTGTGTATCACAGTAGTAACTTTATATTCTCTTATGTGATGTCTTGATTCATAACTATTTCCCTCATTTGACCCTGAGATCCATGAGTACAAGGCTGTGTCCAACTTAATCATTATTTCATCTTCAGTGTATAGTATGGTGTCTGTCATACAGTAGAAACCCAATGAATACTGAATATATAGTGAATGTGTGGATTCAATCAAATGACCCCTGATGTGTGATTTTTTTTCCCTTAAGATTTGTTTTTACAGACTAATTCTGACAAGAGTGACTTAATCTGATGTACAATTTTAATAGTGAGTATTTAGGTACCATGGGCGTTTTCAGTGGAAGAGAAATGTTAAAGTACCTAGGTATCTTGTCACCCCTCAAGCCATTCATTACTCTGCCTATCTGAGAAACCAGTTGAGTAATGTGAGTCCATTATTACAAAGAAATATATGAACCCATTAAAAAAGCTTCTGGAATATATCTAGGTAATTTCTTCTGTAGCTCTCCTGTGATTAAAGTAACATTTGATCATGAGCTGCTTGAGAATAGGAACCATGGCTCTCTCGACTTCAGGTGTCTTTAACGTGCCATTCACCATTCAGTAGCAGTTTGTGGAATGAATAAGTGAATGCATAAGCACCGTATCGGTGCTACTACTGCAAATGCAATGATCATGCTCATCATACTGCCAATACAATCAGCCAATACATGACTAAAGCAGGACTCAAGTCCAGCTACATCAGGCTCCAAAAGCCTACTGTCCTGACAGGCCAGCACTCTAAATCAGTAGTGTAGTCATCTGAATGCTGAGTATGTTGTATTCAAAATATTATAACCTTAATCTTTCAGTTACTGGTTCAAGAAGAATTTAATATCTGATAACCAGGGCACTGAATTAAGTAGTATAAGGGTTACAAAAAGTGTGAGACTTGGTCTTATATGCTTGAAATGCTTGCAGTTTTAACAGGGAAACAGAGCACGGATTCCTAAAATATTAAGTAAGGTTATATGACATGTTCAATGTCAAATGAGAAGAAGAGACTGCATTTTTTTCAGAAGAATTAAGAGAGGAAAGACATACTATAAACTAGGGTGAACAGGAACTTAACTGTGGAAATGATAGAATTTAAGTTGACCTTTGAAGAGTAATATTCAGATTATCAGAAAAGAGTGGAAGGCGCATCCCAGGCAAATCCCAGAGTTTGGAAAAGGAACAAAATACCTCTTTATCATTATTTCATTATAACAAATTTTAAATAATGCAGAATTGTCTAAAATGAGAACAGATTTAACAAAGAAGTAAATACTACTCTAAGCTCCTTGATAAAAAAGAGACTCCTAGAACTATAAAAACCAAGATTAGTGTTAAGTCAATACTTATTAGCTCTGCATTTGCCACTTAGCCCCACATGACAGGATAAAAGCTCACAGGAGCTCTCAGCTGTGTAAGTTTGATAAGTTTACAGTAAGAGCAAGTTTCTCTGCCTATTTATGTTAAACTGTGCAATCAGAATGTGCTATAGTCACATTTCATGGATGCCATTTGCCTTCAAGATACTTTTAAACTTCTCAGGTGACATCATAAGTTTCCCACAAAGTTGGAGGAAATTTGCTGTTCAGAGTGACTTAGCAATATTTGGTTTGATTTTAAACCAGGGCAATCAGGAAGAGGAACGTATTCTTACAAAAATAAACTCAAAAAAGCTTTTCGCAACTGTAGTTCACTGATTTGTTTAAGATGAGGACGTGAGTCATCTGTGACAAGTGAAGTTTTGTTCTTTTATAGAGTATAAAACTTGGTAACGGGCTTCCCTGGTGGTACAGTGGTTAAGAATCCGCCTGCCAATGCAGGGGACGTGGGTTCAAGCCCTGGTCCAGGAAGATCCTACATGCCACGGAGCAACTAAGGCCATGCGCCATAACTAATGAGCCTGCACTCTAGAGCCCGCGTGCCACAACCACTGAGCCCACGTGCCACAACTACTGAAGCCCGCATGCCTGGAGCTTGTGCTCCACAATGAGAAGCCACCGCAATGAGGAGCCCACGCACCGCAATGATGAGTAGCCCCTGCCTGCCACAACTAGAGAAAGCCCGCACGCAGCAATGAAGACCCAATGCAGCCCCCCCCCCAAAAAAAACAAAAAAAACCCAACTTGGTGACATACTAAATTGTTAGGAACAGAAGTTTCCTAGTCACGAAAACTGAATAAACTAAGATGGCATAATGGTGTAATCTACAAGAAGAAAAACTCCAGTTCCTATAACATAACATTTAATTTTATCTAATTATGATTTATAATCAAACAAAAGGTCTGATTTATCAAGGTAGATTTTGATGCTTCATATCCTTTTCAAGTCAGCATCTGTCCTGAAAATGTCATGGAGAATAAATGAATATTAACAAAAAGCAGATGCTTTAAGAGTTTGGCAGGGTTGGCAAACTACCGCCAGTGGCAAAATTGCGTTAAACACATTAATTGAGAAAGGTATTGCATCACAGATTTTATGTCCTGAAGTAGACATGTTTACCACATAATCACATGACATGTAGATTTCTAACTACTTAAAAATAATCAAGGTGATTAAAAAATGGTATAATGAAGGGCTTCCCTGGTGGCGCAGTGGTTGAGAGTCCGCCTGCCGATGCAGGGGACGCGGGTTCGTGCCCCGGTCCGGGAAGATCCCACGTGCCGCGGAGCGGCTGGGCCCGTGAGCCACGGCCGCTGAGCCTGCGCGTCCGGAGCCTGTTGCGCCGCAGTGGGAGAGGCCACAACAGTGAGAGGCCCGCCTACCGCAAAAAAACAAAAAACAAACAAACAAAAAAAGGTATAATGAATAGGTTTATTTCTCCTTAATTTTTTTATATGTAGGCTCTTACCGTATAACGAGCAGTTCTACCCAGACTCGCACAAAAGCTGGTAATGGGCCAAAGACTTCCAGAATGTATGTGTAATGACCACCAGATTTCCTTATAGTTGTTCCCAGTTCAGCATAGGACAAGGCTCCTGTGAAATATTTATAATAAAAAGGTGAAAAGTTAAAATATTACCAAGTCATCCAGCAGTAGAATGGATACAACAATGTTTCTGTTGTGTGAGATGTTACTACATCCTTTGATCTGAATGACATCCTTTTTCAAAATTAATAACAGTCATCGAATTCCTAAGAGCCTCCAGATTCCTCTTGTAACCTCCTCACATTTGAGATCTAGTTCATTCTATTCAAGCAGTGTAATTTGACTTGAAATAGTAAGGGCAAACTTCTAAAACAATATCATATTATTAAGAATTTTGAATCTCAAACCTGACAAGAGAAAAAGAGTAGATGGATGCCAATATTACTAACCTATTTTTCAAAGAACTTCACATCAAAACAAGGAATTATCACAAATTGACCTCATTATATTGAGAATCCTTTTAATAAATGATATTTCTGTGGCATGTCAAAATAAATAAGATTCATCTGTTCTCCAGAGAAATATGGACTCAAGGCTTTGGAAGGCTTCATTTAATTTGTAGGATATGTTTTGTTTGTCAACAAAATGAATTTTGACGCAGATATTCTGTTTTTAGGAAAGTTTTTCTTGTATGTCTTCGAAGTACACACTCTGTATGGCTGAAATAACACACACACTTTAAAAGAAGAGGTGCTACGACATACTTACATACGTTAGGTAAAATTAACTGTAGACCAAATTCTAACATTTAGCAGAGTTGAGCAAGTTATATAATCTCCCCAAACCTCAGTTTCATCCTCTGTAAAATAAAGATCTTAATTTGCACATCACAAGGAGTTTGTGTGTTTAAATATAAAATGCGTGCCAAGGACAGTGCTGGGCCTGACACACAGAAAGCAGCTCATGAAATACAGCTATACCTACTAATGTAAGCAATTAATTTCCAAGAAAATGAAAAATATATTTTGACATTATGTGAAAAGTTCTATCCATACTGCTAAGCATTCAAACATAAGACATAATTTCTGCCTGGCCTGCTCTGGGGACTCAAAGTGTGGGAAATTATTACTAACCAGTAAAGCATAGAACTGTCCAACGTGAATGTAATTTGGATATTCAGCAAAATCTTAGCGTCAGTTATTGTATTCCTGTATCACTTATTGTATTCCTGAACCTAGTACTGTATCAGAGTCACCTGGGGAGAAGTGTTTATTTAAAAACAAACAAAAAACAAATGCTAAGGCTATACCCCAGACCTACTCTCTAACCAAGAGAGGCCAGACTGTCCGATAGAGGCATCCAAGAAAATCTATTATTTTAAAATTCACACAGGTGAATTTTAAAGTAACTAGTCTACAGATTGATATTTGGGGATCACTGATATAGCCTGTCTATTTATAACTAATTGGAACTAGTTGCAATTCACTCTCTGTTGGAAACCAGTCACCATGTTGGTAGGCTGTACAAAGAAGCAGCCAATATAAAATGTTATTGGAAAGTGTCTTAAGTACCTGAGAATTTATCCCCCAAGAATCAATACCTAGACCTTTGTATGCTTTGCTGAAACTCCAGGATAGTTGCCCCAGGTTTAAATTGAGTTCTGGAGAAATGAAATTTTCATTTAAAGGTCTCAAGCTCCATAACCATTTTACCCAGATGAAAAAAGTTCAGAATAGGTTGTAAGAATCCATGTATTGACCCTGGCTTTTAAAAAAACTGTAAATCCAATATACAAATTCTTTACTTTTAGTCCCAGAGTTCTAAGACAAAGGATTTTTTTCCTTATATTTTGCTTTGCTTCCTGTTAAGAAGGTACTCCTATCAAAAGTTCCTAGTAACGTAAGTGATAAATGCAATGCAAATATAGATAAGTAGGTTAGTACAGGAGCACACTCACTGCAGTTAGTAATCAAAGAATACCAACTCAAGCATAAACTTAGCTAGTCCCTTTAGCTTTTTTTTTTTTTTTCCTGAACTTCTTGAGATGATATACTTATGCAGAAGCATATTTTCTTAGTACAGGTCAACATCACTATCATCACTTTAACTAGCTAATGCTCAGAGCCATCCATTTTACTATATCTGAATAACCTTTTATTGTGTGCGAAAATGGAATCACATAGTGGGAGCTGCATGCACACAGTATGCAAAATCCAGGAAACTGGTTATGGTTTCTCCTATCAGACACTGATTTGTTCTGAATATACCACGTGTTGGAGAAGATAAAGGCTGAGGAGGCATAGAGTCATTTAGAAAGATCAACAGTTAAGTTTCTCTCTGTTCATCTACAAACGTACATGCCACACCATATGAATACCACGAACTCTCTGTAAGCTAAAATAACCCAAAAGTAATTCCTCTGTAGATCTTTCTATACAGCTTTTTTTTTAAACAAGTTTTATTTAAAATACCTTCTTCCTAATAATGGAAGTTGGAGTTCTCTAGATGAATGCTCAAACCAACGCTGAAAACACTGCAAGGCCTTAAGAATAAATGGATTGGTCCGTGGAGGACCAAGAGTTAGTACTTGGTCCTAGAGTTTGGACAAAGAGTTAGTACCTTTAAAGAACAGTATCTTTTGAAATCAGAATACAGTGTTTGCCAGAGAAGAGCAAATATGTCTTGGACATTTTTCCCATAACATAAATAAAATTTAATTTTCTGGACCATTCACCAGTTTTTGTCACCTTCACAACTAACCCAGGTAGCTTTCTAGTAATGTGCCCACCTCATGAGGGGACATTTATTACCTCTTTACTATTAATTATCAAGTCAATAAAAGAGATCTAGATTTTGAAGAAAAAATTAATAATCATAAACAGGACATAATAATAAACAGGACTTCTACTAGTCCTGTTTAGACTAACTCAGCAGACAGGTGGGCCAATGACCTGTGTCTCTGAAGACCAAGTGAACTAGAAATGAAGAGAACAGAGCTGGGCAGACACAGCAAACTAAGACCCAATTCCAATTTTACAATTTATATTGCAAAGGTTGATGGGTACTGGGGAGAGATGAAAAGTTGAAAAAAATGTGAAATATGCTCAGACCCTTGCAATATTCTCATTTACAGAAGGAATTGAATTCTATGCCATCACACTTTTTTCCACAATAAGGACTTTTGAAAGAATACTGGGAACCGACAAGCGCGTGAAGTTAAAAAATTAAAAAGGAAAAGACTGCCACCCATTTGTTTAGCCAATAAAAAGTCAGTAAAACTTCTGCTGAACACTCAGTTCTGTGTCTAAACAGGCCACACCGGGTTTCACTTCACAGGTGTCTCATTCAGTGCGCCAGCTGCCAAGATGCCCCAAACACAGGTAACTGAGCACAAATGCCTGGTACAGAAAGCTTGCCTGTATTTTACTGGTTCATCAAAGCTAGCCCTGACGTTCATTGCCACAGGGAAAAAATCAGAAAATTATCTACCTTAGTCAGGAAAAGCGAGCACAGCCTACAGGTTGCAATTTCAGGGAATTCAGGATTCTGCCAACAGTGGAGAGTGTGCGTGGCTAGTTTGCATACCTCCCCCCTAGATCAGAAAATCTGGGGGAGCCCTGGCCATTCATTCCCTCCTTAGAAATCACCCTCTGTTCTCCCAGAGAGCACGGCACCCAGCCCCACAGACACACCCCCAGAGAAGCGGCAACACTCACCAAACAGTGACAGGACCCCGCAGACAGTCCAGACAACCAGGGACAAGCCCACGCTGCCCGTGTTCTGGAGCACACCCTTAGGAGAGATGAAGATTCCTGCTCCGATGATGGTGCCGATGATGATGGAGATCCCTCTCAACAGACTGATTTTCCTCTTCAGCACAACTTTCTGCTGCCCAGGTGGCTCCTTGCCACCCAGGGAAGACAGTCTCGCGTTAACACTGCCCTGCAGGTAACCCCCATTGGAGATGGTGGATGCCACAGCCTTTCTGACCATGGTAGCGACCCGCAGGGAAAAAAGGAAACAGAGCAAAAGAAAGAAAGAAAGAAAAAAAAAAAATTAAAAGAATAAAACCTCCAAACTTTCAACTTTGGTGTCTCTTGGGGTGACTGACCGATTTGATCTCTTCCTCTTTGCCTTCAGATTCTTTCTCAGCGCTAGTGTGCTCCCAGGTAAAAACTCTAAGGTGTATTTTCACCTTCCGCAATCTAATTACTCACAGGAACACCTGTACGTTCGTTCATGGTGTTCTGGTTTCTCCACCTCCCCGACTACCTCTTGCTGCTGAGGCTGCGGCTGCCGCCCTATCATTACAGCCCAGCTCAACTTCCTCATGGGCTGGTATTTAAGCTGCTGCCTGTCTCACCAACTTACTCCAGCTAGATGATGATGCAAATTCTCCAGGTTTGCATCAGCCACATGAGAAGGATCCAGCATTACTCAGCTCTTTTTTTTTTTTTTTTTTTTTTTTTTTTTTTTTTTTTACCACGAGCCGCAAGTTGCTCTACTGACCAAAGCTTTCAGAGAACAAAGCACACTCTTAACAGGGATCTTAACCAATCCAGAAGTCGTAAATTCGGAACAGACCTTCCGAGAGATTTCAAGCAACTCCTAGTGAGGGACAAAAGCTCTTCACTCGAAAAGAAAATGAAAAATGAAACAGGAAATGATCACTGTGCTGAAAGGAGTTTCTTTTCTTTAACGTACAAATAAAATAGTTTATACCAACCTTTTGATCACAGACCAGAACTCAAAGCTGCATTGTTTATAGCAACAAAATTTAGATTTCGTGATGCTTCCTGCTTATTTAAATTTCTTTTTATTTTTGGGTTTCCTAGCAACATGGTCAAATCTAATATTTACAAACCTAGAATGATTCTGTATAGCTGCTGTCATGCACATAACAACTGTGAGTTTTACTTAACATTAAAAGATAAAAATTATTTCTTACTACCCATAATAACACCAGTACTTAAAATTGCCATCTGAGTGTGACTATTTCAAAAATTACAGTGACTCCAGAAAAGAGTCATTTTCTGATTCTCATAAGTGCTAGGTGATCTCCTAAACCAAGTAAAAGATATACTCTTCATCTGCACGTTGTTCCAACAAATTACACACACACACAAATCTAATTTCAATACTAAGCAAAATATACAATGATATAAAAACATGCATATAACAAAGGCTTGAGAAGGGATACACAGAATAAAGTTGAGGAAAGTGTTAAGATTATGTAGGAGTTTTTTCTAAAGCATAGCAACTATTGTTATATTATGATTTTAAACTTAGAATGAATTAGAAATATAAGCTAAGATTAAAATGTTTAGTTTGCTAATGAGGACCTACTGTATGGCACAGGGAACTCTACTCAATACTCTGTAATGGTCTATATGGGAAAAGAATATTAAAAAAGTGGATATATGTATATGTATAACTGAATCACTTTGCTGTACACCTGAAACTAACACAACATTGTAAATCAACTCTACTCCAATAAAAATTTTTTTAAAATGTTTAGTTTGAAACAGTAAGAAAGGCAAACAGTTTAAAACCCTACTAACTTTCTTAACCAAGTGTCCATAAAACAAATACTGAAAGAAAAGAAATCCTAGGTATCACTTTTGGCTGTGGTCATAGGCGGTTTTGGATTCAGTGAGAAGAATTAGATGTTATCATTACCCTGAAGCTACATTTGCAAACGCGATTAAATATGCTTCTGAACAGCTAAGCAAAGACAACAGACAGAAAACTTGTGTGTGCAAGGTGGAGGTGGGGATGGAGAGGGGGTCAGGATGACACAAGAAAGAAACAGCCACTGGAAAGTAGCATAGAGAAGGTCAGACTGTTTTCTGTTATGTTGGCACCTGAGGAAATGATACCACATCCGTGCTCTATCATCCAGATAACTGAGGCTACATCATTTCTTATTTGTATTATGTAGCTAAAGCCTATGTGATTTGCTTTGAGTATACCAAGTTAGGGTTTTTATCAAGCCAAAATAAATAATTTTCCCAGCTGCATGTCTTTCAAAAAATAAAGATGGGTAGTTTTCCTCATTCAACCTTGTTGAAATGGCAAAAAAAAAAAAAAAAAAAAAAAAAAAAAGAAAAAAGAAAAAGCTATAGGGGAAAGAAAAGAAGCTAAAGGAAGATTCTATTTCTCTTTCTCCTCCTACGTGTCCTTCAATCACACAATTCTCTTGATTAATGCACATAATGAAGAGAGCAGAGGCCTTTGTTTCCCAAAAAGGGGAACAGATTAGCCCTGAAGAAATACGAGTTAAAAGTAGAACGCAAACTAATGCAGAGCCACAGTTCAATTTTAAATTTTGTGCTAAATGACTAAACTCATAAATTGAGAGTGAGAATGCATTCAGACAGAAGCTAGATACATTCTAAAGGAGGAAAAATATTCTTTTTATATCAAATGACATTCTCCTCCTTTGGAGTATTTTTAAAAATTATTTACGAAGAAAAGTTACTGAAGTTAGAACAATGGCCAAAAGGACTGGACTCTCTATATAAAACAGTCACATTCAAAACCTCTGCAAAGCTGCAAAACAGTTACCGAAGACACCAGTATATCTCATCCAGTCACCCAGAAATTTACAGAAAGTGTAGTTTGTAAAGAAAATATTGAGTTACCTTCTGGGTTACTTTATAAATCAACAGTCCTAAACTTATAAATAAAAAAATTGTACGGTCTTCAAATATGTGTGTACCATAAAAATTAGTTCCAAGCAAATGCATTTATATCCTCTGTCCTGCTTTAGGCCTTATTTTAAGCACTCCTGTCAAACTGGGAAACTATTCGAGTGCTATTTACAAATATTAATTTAGTGCACAAGAAATAGCCCCCGTTCCCTAAAAGCATTTCATGGAAGAAATAGATGTGATATATCGTGGTAGCTTCCCTTTTCGGGTAATAATTTCTGCCCCATGATTATAACTATGGGCATATAATGAATGACCGGGCCAAATATAACCATCTCCCCAGCTGCAGGGTATAGGAATGTGGCCTGAGCTGGGATATTTCTAAACAGAATTAGATTTATTTTTTTTTCATCTGTCAGAAGTTGTAAAGATGTGACCCTAGAACAACTGGAGGCCATGTCCCCTGCCATATTGGGAAAATCCTTGCAAAATAAAAGAGAATAAGCAGAGAAGAGAGATACTTAGTCCCAACATCATCAAGCCCTGTTTTCATTCCTAAGGAACTCAGATTGGCTCTGGATCCTGAAGGTCTTCCTTCAATTCTATAAGCTACTTAGTTTCCTGGTTAAGTATGCTACCGCATGCTGCACACGAGAAAACAATTGCATTTGGGTGGTAGAGTTAAATGTAAGTGGCATATCATTAAAACCTCTAAACTAGGTTAATATGGCATATTGATAGCCACATATGATAGCCCTTAGACACATATGGGTATCAGCACTTGAAATGTGCCTAGTCCAAATGGGGATGTGCTGTAAGTGTAAAATATCCACTAGAATTTGAAATCTTTTTTTTTCTAAAGAACAAAAAATATCTCCTTAATAATTTTGTTATCTCTATTAATTTCTCCAGCTTCATTATATTTTTAATGTGGCTACTTAAAATTTTAAATTACAAGTGTGGCCCAAATTTGTGGTTCACATTGCGTCTAATGAACAGTGCTAATCTACAAGAAAACAGAGACTGTATTTCCCAACTTGGTATAAGTGGGGATTTCTTAAAAGGGACACACGATGTACTAAGTAACCATAAAAGAAAGGTACATTGGAAAATATTAATATTAAGAATTTCAGTTCATCAACCAAAAAAAAAAAAAAAAAAAAAAGATTCATGATACAACATACGTGATCAAAATACATAATCAAAAGTGAACCATAAGGTGGAAGAAGGTATTAACACCTGGCAAAGATCCCATATCCAGAATAAATAATACATTTCGACAAATCAATAGGAAAAAGACAGATAACCCGGTAGAAAATGGGCAAGAAATTTGAACATACACTTGATAAATACATTTGATGTGAAAATCTACAGTAAATGGACAGCTTTTTGGAAAACAAATAGATACTGAAATGCCCCTGAAAAATAGAAAAATTAAGCAAATAGAAAAAATTGAATAACCATTTAAGGTGGTAGTCAAGGATATCCTTGGCTCAAAAAAACAAAACTAAGCTTCATTTGATTTACAGATAAGGCCTACCAAATTTTTATGAACTAAATAATCTTTCTTAGAAAAGTTATTTAAGAGAATGGAAAAAGAAGAAACATTATCCAACTCATTTTTGTGAGTCTAGTGTAGGAGTTGGCAAACTTTTCTGTAAAGGGCCAGGTAGTAAATATTTAGGCTTTAAGGCCACACATAGTCTCTGTCCAGTGTTCTTTGTGTGTGTGTGTGTGTGTGTGTGTGTGTGTGTGTGTGTGTGTGTGTGTGTGAGGGTGAGTGCATGTATATGCATTTGTGGTTTACAACACTTTAAAAATGTAAAAATTATTCCTAGCTCTTGTGTAGTTTGCCAACCCTTGGTCTAGTAATACCCTGACTGCAAATAGGATAAGGTCATACAGTCACTGCACTAGCTATGACAGATGACTTTGTAAATAATTTTTTATTAAAGCATAGACATGCCCACTTATTTGCATATTGTGTTTGGCTACTTTCACACTACAAGGGCCGACATGAGTAATTGCAAGAGACTGAATGGACCACAAATTGGAAAATGCTTACCATCAGCTCTTTACAGAAAGTGTGCTGACCCTGGCCTAAGAGAACACACAGGAACTGCCAACCCATGTTTTTTTTTATTTTGTCTCTTGCTAGTAACTGTTCTTGAACATTCAGAGCTTGCTAGTCCTACAAGATAGACATGCTGCAGCCTTAGGGCATTTGCAATTGCTATTCCCTCTGCCTGAAATTTGATTCCCTTAATATCTACCTGTTTCATTCTCACCTGCTGTACTAACTTCTATCACAAATAATCATTCTTTTTCAGTTAGTTTTAT